GCAGATGAATCACGTGAAACAAAATGGAATGCTTCCTTCTGTTTCAACTCTGTTTCATTTTGACTTGGTATTTAAAAAAAAAAACAACAACAAAACCTAAGCTGCCATCAAGTTCGTTTCAGATGAAACCTCCCTGGCAGTGCAATTGCCTACTAGCCTGATACTGGTTACTGCTGATTGCCACTGTGATTTATGCAAAATCTCATTTATCCTCAAAGGTGGCAGGAATTACTGAACGGTTTCACCTCAGGAAATGAATGACTGGACACTAGTCTGATTTAGGTCTAATTCTGCCTGCCAAAACAAAATCCCACATTTCTTATGGCAATCCTATTCAAAAAGCAGCTTCAACATGGGAAAGGATCTACTCTGTGATGAGACAGCCATCAGTTGTGACATGGAACAAGAGGAAAAGCATCTCAGAAGGAAGGAGGGAAAGAAGGTAGCAGTAAGAGAGGAATAACACGAGTTCTCACTTTGATATGGTTTTGTGGCCATCCTTCCATCTGAATGAGGATGCTACAATAATATCATGAACCTGGTTCTGAATGCTCCAGTAGAAAAACACCCAAATATTCTAAAGTATTTTCTGTCTATCTTCAATTCTGTATGGTTACCATTATGCATATGACAAAGGACAGAGTGAACTACCAAATGCTGCTAAAACAAGTTCTAATAATTAAATCTTGATCTTTCATTCTTACCATGAACATTCTGGAGCCTTTTCATCTGAGTCCAGCTGACATTATCTGAGTGAAGAATCCGCTGTCTCACTAGGTCAAAGTCTTCTCCTGTTTGACTTGATTCCACCTGCAAAAAGATGGCTAGAATAACTTATTCACTGATCTGCCGAAAGTGTTGGATTGCACTGCATTGTACCGAAATAAAAGCAGTATAGTAGTTCCATATCCTGCAACTACTTGTCAACAATAGTAGTCTTAGAAATACAGCCCAGAAATAATGGCATATCACACATCAAATAAGAAATCAACACAGACCAAATTCAGGATCTTAGAAAATAACAGAAGACAGTTGCACAAACTAAAACAAATCACTACTGGGCTTGTTTTATAAATAAATAGATTTTACTTTTTGTTATAAATACAGAATCACATAACCACCCAAGGCCTTACTTCTCATAGCTAAAACACCTGATGCTGATTATTTTAGACATTAGAGAAGACAGAACTTTTCAACATACTGAAGGATTCCAGTGTCTTCACTCGGCCTTGTATATTGTCAAACAGTAACTCTTAAGCAAGTTAAATGTGTCCCTGAACTACTAGCCTGGGGGTCTGAAGGTTTGGGCATACTGATTTTTTGCTAACTGACTGACTCTCTTAGCTCAAAATAATTTGTATTTTCAGTGAACACTTTCTGTCTCCACAAGCTACACTCCAGGCATGGATCAGAAACGTCCATTTGTTGAGCAAAAGATAGAGTTATACTTAGCAGAGGACTCCCATTTTCAGAAGAATCTCAGATTATTTTTTAAAATTTTTTTTTTAGAAAGTGAGTTTATTTAGTTTTTAATCCATGCAAACTATGAAGATCGTCTTCTAAATATGACCTATGAACTGAGATAGTACTATACTGGCAGGTTTGCCAAGGGGTGGCACCAATACTGCTTTTAGGAAGGAAAGTGGGGTAGGATTTTCCAAAGTCTCTTTGAGTCCTTTACCTGCTGCAAGAGGAGCATCAGTGAGACAACACTGGAGATCACGCACAGCAAGAGGATCTCTGTATGCAGCAGTGTACTACCATCTACACACGAGTGTGTGTCTTCAGTAGCATGAGAATTAAATTCAGGAAGGCAGGTGGACGCCTGGTAAGCACCACTAGCCCACCTCCTGCATGTGTCCCAAACATGCAGCTTTCAGGGCCCAAAAAGCAGTTTGTGTCAAAGTGGCTGGAAACCTCCAGTCCCTCCAAGGCAGCTCCTGGAGGAGCTTTCAAGCAGCATCACCCAAGAGGTCACACAGAGGGTTTGTTGTCAGTTTTCTTCATAACAGTTGTAAACCATGATCCAGAAATACTCACGCATTCTGTTTCTGTCATCCCAGTAGAAAGTTGTGTCCTTTCTGTCACCATACAAAAAGAATCTTTACATGAGACAAGGCTATCAACTTCTTACAGTAAGGCAGTTGTATTTCAGAACCGGAGCCAGCAGCACCCCACGATTAGCATCACTGAGATTACCCTATATGAACCATTACTCAGGAGTAATATGTGGGTTCCAAGTTCAGCCGCTACCTTCATACCATCAGCAGATACCTAGCCATCAGGACAAAATCATAAACAGCTACGCACATGCAGTTTTTATTACACAGTATTTTATTGTCCCATTGCTTTATCAGGAAACGTGGCAAGGCTGCACTGCATTTCCAAGTCCTACAGGGTTTAAAAAAAGAAAAAAAAACAAACAACAAAAAACCAACCTCCAAACCCAAAGGGTTGTTGCTGACCACAACCACCAATAACACACCACATGACTCAGTTTAATAAAGCACACGCACTACACAAAGCAAGGTCTCCAATATCTACCCTACAGGCAGAAAGCTCCTCTTCTTTCACTATTGATTTCCTCAATATTTATTTCCTTAGCAGCCTCAGATTGTTTCAGAACCAGTTTTCACAAGAAAAGACGAGAGGTCACTGCCTTTTCAGAACAGGTCTGAACACAAAGACTACAGGATTACAACAGTGCTCATCTTGGCAAAGATATTATGTGCATCATTAGAGATTTTCCACTTTGGTAACCCTGTGCCAGCATTTGAGCCCATGTACTTTTAATAATGAGTTTCTCATTACAGTTTTATCCAGTTTGTCTCAATTATTTTTCTTGTTCCCATCAGAAATTATGAAGAAATTACAATTTAAATGAGATCCCTCTATATGAGAAGAGTATGGTACAAAAACAAAGCACAAGCAAAAATATTGGTTGTTGTAGACAGATGTCATAAAAATTATCTCCTTCTGAAGAGAATTGTTATAGTTTGGTCAGTTTTAAAAACTGTTTCCACAAAATAGATCCCACAGAAGAAAGAATTAATATTAGTTTTCATTTGTCTTCAAAATCTTCAACTTAAGGACATAATTTATACAAAACACAAGGTACCTCTCAAGGTTTCAACTACATACCGAGGAAACATCTGGAGGAAATGTATTCTGGATGCAAACCTTGTACACCTGCAAAGCTCACATTACCAAGTACCCAAAAGTGTTAAATAATTCCTTAACATTTGAGTCTCTGGAAATCCTGTGTCATTTGTTTTATTTGTATTAACATAAGAAGGTAGTCTCAAAAGCTATCTCATTATAAAGAAAATAAGTTTTACAATCAGTCCTGTGAACTTAAATTCTTGTTATTATCTAGCAATGAAACCTGTCTTGAAAACGAAGGCTGAAGAACATAACCATATTATCATTGTTACATGACTTTTGTTTTCTTAATGGCAAGAGAAAGGTAGCAATTACAATAAACTATTTGTCAAGGTCTGTGATTTCATTTATGTAAACAAAGCAGTTAAATCCTTTCTTTTTATAAGATCCTTAGAAAATGGTAAACCCTAGGGTTTACCAGAATATAAAGAATCCTGCAGGTTCAAAGAAACCTCTAATTTACTTGGGAAACATAGGAACTATTTTCTCTCTATTCTGATGCTGTAAAAGCACAGCAGTATCCCAGGTATCAAACCGCTAAGTGTTGTTGAAAGGGCACCAACAAACAGACAAAAGAATCTGTAAAGGTCAACAAAAGCAACACAGACAGATTACTCCTTTCTCACTCTAACACATCAATCATTAGAGGTGGACCAGTCCATTTTAACCGTACCAGCTCTGCCCTCCAGCTTCTCACATAGTTCCTCTCCGCAGGTCTCCCACAGCCCCAGAACAACCTCAAACCCCCATCGCCAACCGCGGTGGCAAACACCAAGTGCTGCATCAGCAGATAAAGGCAGAGGTGTGGTTATTCCTACAGTGCCAAGGGTCATGCCAGGGTAACAATGCACAGCAGCTAAAAGAAGTGCCAAAGTATAGGGCAGAAGTAAAGGGCAGACCAGATAGAGGACCTCAGTTTGGTCTAGCATCAGCTCTTTCTTCAGTGCTTACAGAAGTTATGAAGAGGCTGTTCTGCAGCTGCGTGACCTGTTGCAGATTTTGACCCATCCTGAAGGTACAGTCAGAAACTTTCACAGGTGTTTCATTCCATCACTGTAATTCCTCTTTAATATCAATTAGCAAGAAATTCTCTACACTGCCTTCAGGACCCTAGAAGGCAAGGGCAGACTGGCTCATTGTTTCAGCTTTGACTAACACAGTAAAATCTGGTCGACTGATCACCCCAGAGGAACTGATGATAAGAAATAATTATCCATCAGCAACTTACCTGCACCCAGGTATGCAATTTTTACAGATATAATTTCACTCTATGTTGAGGCATAGTAGAATTTTATTCTCAAAATTTGTAATAATACAGTGTTTCTGTCATTATGAAATCTTGTCTGTAAATTGCATGCTATCTAGTTCATGGTATGATTATACAGATTAATGCTTATGGAACACTTTGCTAAAAGATAATTCAGAGCACTCACTACTTAAGAACTACTGTAAATGCTTACAAAGGAGGAGCGAAATTATCAGAGATTTTTGCTTTGTCTTCATAGATACAGTCACTACCAAAACAGAAAAAAGATTGTGTGAAGTGGAAGAATTGATCAGTTGTACCTTTCAGAACCAAAGAAACATGAAAACAATGCAGAGATTTGAGACTATCCATTACCTTGCCAATGCTATGGAATATAACCAGATCACTCCATCACAGGCATTACTATTGTGACTACAATTACTTAAGTGTTCTTGCACTGCTGCAATAGCACAATTTCATCCAAGTAGATAAGGCATTTGGATTTGATGTTTAAAGACTTGCACTTCAAAGATGAAATTCACATGTACTAGAAAAATAGAGCAATTTAGGGCTATTACAACATCTTTAATGAAACAATCAAGTAATGACTTCAGTTTCAACAAATTGCTGGACTGTCATCAAAATACCTGATTTAAAAACATCTCAGCCTAAATAGCTTGGAAGTTTTTGGAAAAATAAAATCTTGAATTTCCTTTCATTCTGATCCAGCATTTGGCCTTCTCTTCAGCTTAATCCAGATGCCATTATTTGGACGAAGAATCAGTTCTCCAGTTATACCAAGCTCTTCTGGCTTTTGACATGAATCCACCCAAAAGCGCCGCAGGATGAGGGCTAGAAGAGTTTTCTCCTCTATCTGTGCAAAGCGTTGACCTACAAATTACAGGGCAGAAAAAAAAATAAAAAAAGATGTTATTGTCAGGTTCTATCAACAGTTGCTGCGTTTGCATGCTCACAGCGATACCTCTAGGAACACAGGAGAGCAAGCACTGTGCATCTGCCTCGACAACAGAACTGGCTTTAGGCAAAAATTGAGGTCACGTGGATACTACTGAAACTAGCACTTTTCTTTGCATGACAACTCTGGTCCTCCTGGGACAATCCACAGCGCATCCTCCTTTCCACAGTACAGAGAACAAAACCAGCAAACAGTAAACACTTTACATAGCACTGATACAAAACACAGCCTTGTCATGTCTCTTGGATGGACTAGGCAGGGTGGAATGGATGACAGACCACAGTAGCAGAAGATGCAGCACAGGGACTGCAAGGAAAGACAAATCGCGCTGTTCCATATATGTAGAGAGGAGCAAAGGAGATACAACTGCAACAGAACAATAGACTTTCCTTCAGCGAACACTAAGCATCACACACAGTGATGATTTGGTAGCACAGAGGGCAAAGTTCAATTTACATTTCAGACAAAGGTGGAGGAGGAAAGGGCAGAACAGAGAAATATGGGGAAACCAAACCAAGTGTCACAATCCAGGCAGTTCGCTCAAACTAACTGAAAATGGGAACACGACACAAAACCCAGTGTTCAAAACTTTTTCTGTGCTCCCCTCTGTGTAATACGCACAGATGGATGTCTGTACACATATACACAGTGATGAATTTCTGCAATGATATTAATGAACCAACTCTCCTGCACATGTTCCTGTATACCCAGGAACTAGCTAGACATGCAATATTAAATTAGATTCCTCTTTGGAACATGGGAAGACCTAGTCTGCTTTTCTTATGGGAAGGGCACCTATTCCTAAAGAGACAAATTAAAAACAATCAAAAAACCTAACACCACCACCCCTAAAAAAGAAAACAAGCAAAACCCCAAACCCAGAAGCTCTATCTCCTGTTCTTGTAAATGGCACGACAATTGCTGAATGTTCCCCACCTGCACTTAAGATCAGCACAGGGAACAATCTTTTCATGTGTTCTACAATATAAACAAGATCACCTCTACTTTGAGCACAGATAAATGCCCAGTGTCTCAGTGACACCTGAAGAGCTAACAAGTTCTGGGATGACAGGGAAAACACCAGAGCAAGAAGGGTGTCAGAAAGAAGGAAAGAATACATATAGTTGTAGACTGCATGTTTGGGACACCCAGCTGAGAGCATGGGATAAACAGATGAGATGTTTTCTCTGGCTCTGTCTTGCTGACATTGAGGATCAGAAATTTGGAAGCAACACTGCCCTAACACAGCCCATTAACACGCTGCCAGGCTGCACAGGCAGCGATAGCATGATAGGCACTGGTCCCTGGGAAGAAAGGAAACCCTTGGGAAGAAACAAAACGTAGCAGCTCAAGCACCAGGTTTGCAAGGGAGACAGCACCCAGAATTCGGGAGGGACAGCAGGGGAGAGGGGCGAACAAGACCAGCAGGCACATCAAGACTTAAATTTCTTGTACACTCACTGCTGCCACAGCTACCACACCAAAAGCAACACTGTCACATTACAAGGGCTTCCTCTTCAGCTACCTACCAATGCAGTTCCTGAGACCAGCCGAGAAGGGCACATAAGCATACGGGTGCCTTCCTTTACAATTCTCAGGGAAGAATCGCTCAGGTCTGAACTCCGCTGGGTCAGGGAAGATCTCAGGGTCTCTGTGCAGGGCATAAGTTATGACAAGAACATTCGTGCCTTTTGGTACTTGATATCCTCCTGAGGAGAAAAGGGAAGGGAGAAGAAGGGTCAAAACAACAGCAAATAAGTGACTTTCTACACACAACAGTACAATAAAAAATATAAAACAAAGCTGCCCTTTACTTGGGAAACACCTCCACTGAGGAGATGCTAACAGGGTAAGAAGTGGCAAGCACAGGACACTACTTACTAATACAGCAATCCTCTTTCAAGGCACGGCCAAACAGCGGAACTGAAGGGAAGAGCCGAAGGGTTTCCTTCACCACACACTCAAGGTATCGAAGCTTCTTCAAATCATCCATTGTGACAGGACGCTCAGTGTTGCCTGTCCAAAAACAAATAGGAGGATAAGCAAGACCAAAATTCCCCATTTCTGGTTAAACAAATTCATCCCAGCTCCCTCCAGGAACTCTCATCACACACCAAGACCCCATAGGAGAAGGTGCTACGCATACACTGAACATGCATGCATTGCCCCAAAGTCATACGGTTGGCTGTACTTTCCTACAGACTTTCCAGCACCCATCCCAATCACCTCCAGCTATTGAAAGCTCCAGACGGGCCACAAGGCATATTCCTATCTCCCTTCTACATCCAGGCTTATAATGTACCACATCCCCACTCACAGATGCAACCACCACCAGGACTCCAATGAAGGGTGAATGGAAACGTACCAAACACCTCATCCAGTTCTCTGTGAACCTTCTTCTGGGCTTCAGGATTACATCCAAGTAAGTACAGGGCCCAGTTCATAGCAGCTGCTGTTGTATCATGGCCCTAGAGGTCCAGATTTACAAAGACATTGACTTCAACACTATGCCTGTGCACAAATAGGTCTCAAATACTTAGCTGTGCAGGTAGTATGGAAGGTGAGGCTTACTAGTCCCACGACCACGAGAAAAACAAAAATTAAGAGTGAAGAACTCTATTCAACATGCTGATTATCAGGATATGAGATGACCCATGATGCTGTCAGGTGCCTGAAAACTGACCAAAAGGGGAAAGTGTTGAAATAACCCAAGCAAACATTCATCTCCTCTGCCTCCCAGAAGCTGACCAAACTACCAGTATATACACAATGAAACAGAGGCATATTCATTTTTTTGGTTACTGTCCAGTCAACAACGTAACACCTGTGGGGCCAATGACTGCCACAGCTACACAATGAAACAGAGGCATATTCATCTTTTTGGTTACTGTCCAGTCAACAACATAACACCTGTGGGGCCAATGACTGCCACAGGAGAGATACAATGGACACAACCTGTAACTTTTACAAAACTGTCCAAAAAAGGGTACAAACTATCCAAAAAACCATGGCCATAGGAGGAAATACTTCTTGGATACAAATTTGGAAAGGAAACAAAGGGAAGGGAAAAAAAAAAAAAAAAAAAACACAAACCAAAAAAAACCCAAACCAAAACACAAACCAAAAACCTCCCCCCCAAAAAGAAAAAGAGGGGAACAGAAAAGGAAAAAGTTGACCAACAAAGGATTTTGGTACTAAAGAGGTACACTTGTGAAGTCCAGGGTGCTGCATCTCTTCAAAATCCAGCTATGGAGTAGTACAGGAATGGTAAGATGGGAAGAGAGTTTCTCTAGGTTACAACAGCAGTACTATAAATCTGAATGAAGTTCTTCTGAGATAGAATTCAGGTCCACCTAACGGAGGTGTGTGGAAAACTTGTGAAAGTCCTGCTTAGATCTTTCATTGGACAGAGAACCAGACACAAGAAGACAGTGCCAATGCACACCTGTTGATAGAACCAAGAGGTTACAGCCAACGTGGCAAGAGACAAAGTGTGGAGAGCTGACAAAATGCAAGGCAAAGCATCAAAACCACTTAGAGTTCTCTTTAGCATTAATGAGGTTTGCAACAGGACCCGAGAGCCAATGGCCCATGTCAGTCACTAAGCTCTTATTTACTCACCTGCTTTCAGGAGTAGCGCCTGCTCACACAGGCAGGGCCTACCACATGTGTATTGCCCAACATTTTGCCAGGGCACACAATTCTGGGTCAAATGTTTCTATCCTTTAGTATTTTCTATCTTACAGAGATTTCCTCTTAGGCTTCCAGGGCTAAAATAATTTCATACTAAAGGCAACCTCCTGAACTACGAAAAGGAAGAATCACTACCTGCAAATATACCCAAAACCACAAACCCAACACAAACAAAAAAAACCCAATAAACCAACAGGTTCCTTGGGTACCTCAAACATGAAAGTATCCACTTCCTCACGAATGTCTCTGTAGCTCAATTTGTTCCCTCCATCATCTGTTGCACTCATCAGCATGTCCAGGAAAGCTTTTCTCTTTTTGGAGCCACTTTCTTCATAGTTGCCATCAGTATCACATTTTTTCTTCCTGGTGTTTTCAAGTTCTGCAGCTTTTTCTGCAATGACCTGAGATTAGAACCATTATATTAGGTATGATGCATGCAGCACACACGCACAGTCTACATGACATGGATTTGTTCCAACTTACTAAAACAACAACATCCATCTGTAGCAGTCTACATGAGCTGGTTAGTACAGCTGTCAGCATTATCTCATGAACTTGAACTGACTTTTTGTGTTAGTAGGCGAAATATGACCAACCCTTCTTGTCCCAATCAATAGAATGAACACGTGTGATCAAGAAAATACATAGCTCAACTATGAAAACAACTTGTTGATCATTAAGAGGTGTAAACACATCCAGAATATCTGGAAGACGCCAATCATGAATGCCAACAACAGTGACAGTAAATCAAAAACCATCACCACAATTTGAACAGACTGATCACCAAGATGATATTCTCTACTCTACCCAATAACTAAGGAAAGGATCAATCTCCAACCTCTGAAGAACTCAAGAGATTGACGAGAAGCCAGGGCACCCCACAACCCTGCATCAGGACTACATATAGCACGGCTGGAACCACTACACTAAAGCTTCCCAAATTTTCTTCAGTATGAGAGCGACGGCTGAACTTCCCTTTTTTAGGTCAAAGCACAACCCCAGAGACAAAGATTTCCTGCTGTCACCACCGTTGTTGTAACAGCAAAACAGAACCCTTCAGTAAACTGGTATTGCTCTCAATAACAATAATTAAAAATAAAGGCTGTAGAGTAAGTAATTCTGTTCAGAGGAAGAACTGAATGGGAAAAAACCAACCCAGTTACACTCACACACATTGTTTCCCTCACTGAACATACACATCTAAAAACACATCTTGAACCACCTTTTGTCTCAGTGCATTTTGTCAGCACCTCCACTAGGTGCTATTATTATTTACTGTTCCTTTGCCATCTTCTAAGATTTGGCTTCCTATATCCAGTGCAGCAGTCCAGCATGGGAAGGGAGGAAGTATTACCTTAGGTCCCTTTAAGAGCCTCTCTCTTGCCTCACTGTTGCAGTTCCCAATAAAAGGAAGCAAAACATGAACTACTTAGAAACAACACAGAGTCAATGTGGCTCATTACATGTAATTAAAAGTTTGGAGATTATTTCCTTTGTTGTGGGCATTGATACAATGACATTGTGGGGTACATACACTTATTTCAGGGAAAGCAGCCTCCCTAGTAACATCCTAACAGTAGATTTGGGAAGGTAACCACTGGCAAGAACAGCACAGAGGCTGTTTGGTGAAAGGGGTGCTCCCTGCACAATCTAACACGGTGAGAGAACGTTGTGTTTTATGTCAAGTGAGTGATGTATGCTTAATGGTTTCTGTGTCAAACCGTCTTACTGTTGATGTGGGGACCTGCATGTGTTTGCTCATCTCAGCAGTTCTGCTCTGAATAGGGGAAAATGAACACAAGCTTCCATTTCCAAGGGCTGGACCAAGCAACATTACCAAGCAGAGAGCCCTATGCTTACTGCTACAAATTTGGCAGTGAGCTGTTGCTGGTGATTCAGATGTGCATCATCTGGGGCAGAACAAGGGTTCAGTGAACTCCAGTTGTTTGTTTCTGTTGTCAAGGACCTGTGAGTCCTGTTACTCCCTTGGAGTAGTATACTCCCTTGCTTAAATACGACACAGTTCCTGACAGAGAAGACAGCTGTTGTCTTCTTTTCAGGGAATTCCTCGGCATCCCAACAGAGAGAAAGTTCTTCTCTTAACAGATGTATATCGAGGGGGTTGAACCTCACTCCCATTTGGAAGCTCTCTGAGTGCTAGACTGCTCAAAAAAAAGTAATAAAAAAAAGAATCTATACTGTATCTGTAAAATTGTGAAGGATCTTGAGGTTCCTCTCATGCTCTCTTCCTTCCTTGAACAGCTTATACACGAGATCAGGCCAAAGCCAAGGGCTCTTCTGTCGCTGTTGGATTAGATCACTCATCCTAGGGGCACAGGAATTACATCATGTAACATTTCTTGACAAAAAAATAAATTTACAGCACAGTTTCCAGAAAAAAAAAAAAAAGGTTCTACCTCTCCCAGAGAAATGGAACTTCACATATCATATGGGTTTAAACCCATTCATCTGAAAGGAAGGCTGTTCATATTTGTTTCCTGTTTTTAAATCATGTCAAAAATTCTGCCACCTGTCGCAGCACCAGAACAATTTATATCTTTAAGCACTGATCTCTGAGAAGGAGAGCATAGTCTCATTTAGTGTGAATCTTCTTGAAGCAGACATATTCAGTCATCCAGTACAGTCCCATTCTACATCGGTAAAGCACTGACTGTGCTGAAAAGATATGTACAACCTGAAAAGACTGCTCTTGTGAGGGCTCCAAAATATCTGCTCCATGCCCTCAAAACAGCCATCTAAAAGCATCACATTCCTACTTGGCTGTCCAGATACCATATATGCCAGACAGCACATGAAAAGTATTTGAAATAAAGATTATGAGACTTCAAGTATGCTCAAACACAACTGGAGTACATCTGGAAGGGTTGACTGTCATTGCTGTTCAGCTCTTGCACACACTCTTGGCTGCAGAAAGAGACTTTGAGGAGTAATTATTATCTTTAGACCAACTTCAGGCCAGTCTACTTGCAGTACCATTTGGGAAAGGCCAAGGAACTGATGACAATCAAACCCTCTAATTCCACACCTTTTTTTTTTTACACACCTATCTTGACAAGTCCCATCAAAGGCTGAGAGTGAGATGCCACAAGCAGCTACATCTCATCTAGGCTGACACACCGGTGTGGTAGGAATACAGACCATGCTTTTCCTAATCCACTGGACAGTCACATACAATTTGAACGGTGTAAATACTGCTGTGAACTGCAAAGCAGCAGTGCCTCAGCTTTAACGTGCTATCTAAAACAGCACCCTCTCAATTCTGCCAGTGATGCTATATGGAATGTTGCAGATCCATTATTTTTTTTTTAATCTCCTGTGCCAATGGATTGACTGAATGGCAGCTGACACCTCTTCAAAGCCTCCACACCTCTTCAAAGCCTCAGCTTCCCATTGCATATAGTCATACCAGAAAATGCATCAAAATCTGCTGGAGTTTTTCCTGCCTTCTTGGCTCTCTACCTCCATCTGTGACCTCCCCAGCCCTCCTTCCTGGCTCACAGCAGATGAGCTCCGGACACCAGCAGCATCGACTCCAGCCCAACTACAAAGTAGCCAAGGAAAATGTCCATTTACCTGTAGACAGCACGAACATACTCAGAATCCTTATTCTCCTGAGCACCCACATTCTTGCCCATCGCCGTTTCTAGGAGGAAGAAATCATCAACAGTTCATGAGTGTGAAGTAAAATGCAGAGTCCCTGTACACAATAGGTTACTACTGCTCCCAGGCTCTGACTGTCACTACACCATCCCTTCAACAGGTAAATACACACATCCCTTTCCAGGTGATGAGCTTGCTTTACATTTTGATGCCCAGGAACGCTGCTTCTCAACACAGTCTCACTTCAGACTGCTCTCTCTGCCCTGTCCGCCCCACAAACTCACCTGCTCAGATGCACACAAGACACCCTAGGAGACAGGATGGCCTTGGGAGGATGGAAATACATTCACACAATATACAGGGACATTCCTCTTCAATTGTCTCCTCACACAACACGGCACAGCTGTACTCATGAGCCTCTGCATCACTCACAGCCCCACCACAATAACCAAGGAGAACTTACCACAGATGATATCAAGGGCACAGAGAGTGATGTCTAGAAAGATATTAAATGGTTCCTTGTCAACATGCTTCTCAAGTTTCTCCAACAAAATACTTCCTTGTTCATTCATAACCTCTAGAAAGTCAGTTAAGATTGAGAAGTGGAACGTGGGAGTTATCATCTTCCTCCGTGACCGCCACTTGTCTCCGGTGCTGCAAAATTAAGAGGGAGAAGGAAGGGTTAAAAACTCCAAGTCAAAAATAAAACCCTCACCATCACAAGAAGTAAACAGTAAGAAGTGCAGCCTGGAACACCTTCACAGATGGACACATTGCAGGTGACTCTTCAAGCTCTCCATAGCACTCCACAGAAGGAGTAAAATGGAAATATTTCTTGCTCCAGCTCTCTCCAAAGCACAAGCCACCATTTCTATGGCTGCTCTCCACAAAAGGAGATGCCAACAAGCCTTCAGGCAATACAGCCCCATGGTTGCTCAGTGCACAGGCTCAGAGGGATGGAGCAGAAGCCATCTATAAGACAAACCAGCTATTCAACATCAAGGCTTCAAGCCATCACATCGCCTCTGGGACTTGCCACCCATGCTTGCCTTCATCTGCCGACTAGGAAACGAAGATTGCAGAGAACTAGGATCCACGGACATTACGCAACTTAATGCCTCAAGGTCTGGCTACAAAGTACTCCCTTGGAGACAGGCAACCACCTCCCACATGTCAGGGGCTTCAGCCGGGATAGAGTTAATTTTCTGCCTAGTAGCTGGTACGGTGTGCTTTGGATTTAGCATGAGAATAACGTTGATAACACACTGATGTTGTAGTTGTTGCTAAGTAGTGCTTACCCTAAGTCAGGGACTTTTCATTTTCCCACGCTCTGCCAGTGAGGAGGGGCACAAGGACCTGAGAGGGAGCAAAGCCAGGACAGCTGACCCCAACTGGCCAACGGGATATTCCATACCACAGGACATCATGGCCAGTATGGAAACTGGGAGAGTTGGTCAGGAAGAGCAGAGTGTTGCTTAGGCATTGGTCAGCATGTGCTGAGTAACTGCACTGTGCATCACTTGTCTTGAGTTTTCTTTTTTTTTTAACATTCCTTTTCATTACTATCATTATTATTA